ATACTTTCTCACCTGAAGGACTTTCCTGATTCTTTTTAGGTTATGTATCAAGAGCAGGTTTTTCTCTTTGGAAACACGACCTAACTGATCATCCAGTTGTATCAACAAGTTTTGAAGAAGAATTGTTGCCATGGTTTCATTGTTAGAAGCTGCTTCCCTAAAAATTAAAAAAAAAAAATGTGCTTTTACACAACAGGAAACAACTTGGTAAAATATCTACTTTTTAACCTTATGAATTTTAAAGGGATAGATCCAACAGTGATAGTATTAAGAGATTTTTAAAAATAAATCTGTATACATGAAAAAAATGTTCAATATCACTAATCATTGGGGAATTGTAAATCAAAACTATAGTTAAGCTGCTACTTTACATTTATCATGAAATAAAAAGAAAAGAAAGAAGGGGAAAAAAGTAAAAAGCAACAGAAAACAGATACCAAGTGTTGACAAGGATATTGAGAAGTAGAAACCCTTTTGCATTGGTGATAGGAATGTCAAATATGCAGCTACTGTGGAAGACAGTGTGGCAATTACTCAGAATAATAAACATAAAATAGATGATCCAACAATACTATATTTGGGAATACACTCAAAAAGAATTGAAATCAGGGACGTGAACAGATATTTGCATATCAATATTCATGGCAACTTTGTTGGCAATATCCCAAAGGTAGAAACAACATAAATGTCTATTGAAAGATGAATTGATCCAACAAAAAGTGATAGATGCATACAAGGCAATATTATTCTGTCTCAGAAATGAAGGAAATTCTGGTATATGCAACAACATGGATGAATCTTGAAAATATTCAGTGAAATAAGTCAGTGGCAAAAAAGACAAATACTGTGTGGCTGTATTTATGTAAAGTACCTAGAGAGTCAAATTCACAGAGACAGAAAATAGAGGAGCAGTTGCCAGGGCCTGGGAATGGGAGTTATTGTTTAGTGAGTGCAGAGTTTCAGTTTGGGAAGATGAAAACATTCTGCAGATGGAGGGAGAGATTTAATGTTACTGAACTCTACACCTAAAAGTGGTGAAAATGAGGTTATATTGTATATGTTTTGCCATAATAAAAAAAGTTGACAGAAGCAAAAAATCAAATCATATAAGGTGAGTATAGTTTTGAAGAATATGAATTGGCCAATTTCATATAAGAGTTACTTTTCTGAAGTCTCAGGAAAGTCTTGGATTTTAAGTTGCTCCAAGTCTAATAGGATACAGGGAGTAAATAATGAGTATTTTATTTGCCTTCAGGTTACTCCAAGTCCAATAAGGTAGAGGGAGCAAGGGGCAGGGAAGGAGCTTGTTAGATCACACAAATTCATACAGACAGTTGAGGGCAGGGTGGGGGGTGTTTTGGGGAAGGGGAATGGAGAGGTGGAATAGGAGTTCCTAAAAAGAATATTTACTTATATTGAATCTGTGATGGAAGATTGATAATATTTTTAAATTTTATCAATTTTAGATTCAATTTATCAAATTTAGATTTTTAGATTCACCTCTTGTTTTTTTAATAAATAACAAATTGGTAGGGGGCTGGCTTACAGAAAATCAAAACACTAAACCCATTAAGTTTTCATCTACAATGGATGAAACCAGAAAGGACATTGGCTCCCCTCCTTTGAGAAGGTCTTCTAAATCCTTAAAGAAACTTGTTACCTGAAAAGAATGTATCTACTGAATCAAAAGTGGACCATAGACTAAGTCCACAGAAAGCATAAAGCAACTGTACATCAACTTCTAGGGAAAAAAACATTTGATCCTACCAGTCTTGATTTTCAATCCACTGGGCCAGCAGATGTCGTATTTCCATAGGAAAGTTGTCATCATAAAATTGATCTACTTGCTCCAAAAACTTAATTTCTAACTGTTGGACTTGATTCCACTGAGTCATGCTGTAAAAGAAGGGATAAAATGAGCATTTTAAAACGTTGATAGCTATGGTCCATGTTTTCTTCTTTCCTTAGGGTTCAATCAGACAATATGATCCATTAGTTAATTAACTGGAAAAAATTGTCTCCTTTTATAGTCACTCAAAGGCAGAAAGAGAGAAAATGCTTTTGAGCCTAACACACAGCAATTCCTCTTAGTGTGTCAAAAGGTATCCCTAACAAGGGAAACAGTCTTCTTCCTCTGCCCTCAAACCACATCCTTTCTTGTTCTAACATGACCTCCTGTTCTACCTTCTCCCCCTCCCCAAAACACCCCCTGCCCTGCCCCCAGCTTTCTACATGCCTCTGTAGGCTTAGCATATTCCCTGACCCTGCTCCCTGTATAGCATTAGACTCAGTAGAAGTCAGATAACACACTCAAGTCCAAAGACCTCCTAAGGGTTTATCTGGGAGGAATCCCCCACTCCTTTACATGGAAATGCCCAAAACTTTTTTTTTTTTCCAGATGTGTTTGTCTTCTAGAGCCAGTTTTATGTTCCTGATTTCTAGTCTAATTCTGTCATAGCCTCCAGAAGAATGTATGTTTTCATAGGTTCAAGCAATTCACTAAATATTTTTATTTCCAATAAATATTTTTATTTCTCCCTTTGGTGATCACTATGGGTAGGCAAAAGCTTTTAAAGTCTTTTAGTTTGTCTCTGATGTCTATCTGACAGTGGTTAAACCCTCAAGTTACTGAAGGAAGGAGAAACCATACTCGATAAATATTTGGATGCCTGTCATAAAACAAGAGAATGCATTCCTCCCACATAACTCCACCCTGGTCAATGTAGGAGCTAACTCAGGAAAAATTAGTATGACATGTTTTCAAAGTTAGGAAAATTAATATGACATTGTCTCCTTGAAATTACAGTATTTTCATTTCTTCAGAGTCAGGATTCTTATTATTTGTTCAGTAATACTAGTTCAAAATAATTTAAAAAAACTTTACATGATTAATCACTATAGTATTTCAACAAAACATAAAGGTAGTTTAAGGTTTCCTTCAGCTTATAGAACATTATGATAATCAATTTCACACAATTCTTCAAGTTTCAAATGGAACCATTCTGAGCACCTTTCCCTTGAGCTCCCAGTAAATGATCAAAACTGTATAGAAAGAAAATTGTTGCAGATGTTTTGATAAAAAGAAATCAAGTGGGAAAGGAAATAATCTTTAACTTGCATATGATTTTATATTTATGAAGTCCTTTTTACACATTACAATTCTAGTCATATTGTAAATGCTCAGTAAAATCTTGTTAGATGGAGCGTGAATGGCACTCCTGTTATTGCTATCCATTGAATCCATGAATAGTAAGCATTAACTCCACTTTAGAAATGACAAAAACGTGAGAGCTAAATAGAGGAAATGATGCCTGCCCAAGATTCACATCAACTAAGGATAGACCTGAGGTCTCCCTCTGCCAAATTGTCCAGTTACTAGATATACATATTCCATACACAATTGGAGCATTTGTTTCCACACTATTATCAACATTGTCCTGCTGTAGCTATCAATTTATTCTATTTAATGAAAACCAAGAATACTAGCTGAAAATAACGTTACAATTTTAGTCGCTATCCTATGGTTTAATCCTTACTCTAGTTTAGACAAAAGTCTGTTTTCTAAGAATTAATCTATCTTAATCACTCCAAAGATCTGAGCCTTCCTTCTGAAGAGCTAAACTGGAGGCTGAAAAGGGGGGAAATAAGATAGACACTTTTTGCAGTTGCAGCAATAATAAAGTGATAAACACCTTTAGACCCCCTTCAGCAACGACCCTTCACTTTGGCTCTCTAGGGAGGTAATTCTCCTGTCCCCAACTATATCCATTACTTCTAAAAATTGGGTGCCTGTCTGTTTTCTTGGGACATTCTGTTCCACCTGGGAGCTAGTGGTACTGACTTGACTTTTGAACCGAACCGGAGCTTACAAAGAAGATGACTTGCCCTGAAAGATCACTCACACTTATCAAAGCCACATTCCCTGGATACCCTAGCTGCAGGCTTTCTTCTGAACCCAGGCATGCCAATCTCATGCTAAACATCTCAGCTCTAGACTCTGGCTGGGAAAGTCAAGCAGGACTCATTCTCTGCACGCTGCACACACATATCTGCAGCAGCCACACTCTCTCGGAGTCACCGGGCCTTGGTGGGGGAAAGCCACGCCAGAGTGCGTCTGTTAATTCCCCCAGTGAGACCCTTCTTTTTATAGTCTCACGTCCTCAGATAAATTAAAAATGAAGCAACTGTCAACAAGTGCAAAGCCGACTCCTCCAGCATCCTGTATAAGCTGGGAGGGGGCCCACGAAGATAAGGTTTGCCCTGCTTACCTGGCGTGCTCCAGGCCCAGGTCCCAAGCAGTGCTCAAGTCCAAGGTCGGAATCGCCCTTCACAGTCCCCAGGACACAACCACTGACACCGTCGTCAGTAGGGGATTTGCATTTCTCCACCCACTTGAGGCTTTCCTGTGCGTCAGTGTTTGAGTCTCTGGGACTTTACTTGGGTTAGTTCCCACCCACTCTCTCTTCTTGAAATGCTAAAAAGCGAAAGAATCGAAAGAATCGGGTTAAAATCCCTTTGAGGGACATGGTCTTCCTTCTCATCCTTCCCAGCTACGCCTGTGGGGTGCCAGAAGTTTCAAGGTGGAGACTACACACTCATTCACTCACTCCCTCCTTTCCTCCGGTGGTTTCTTCAGACAGTCCAAGAGTCTCTGCAAACTTACCTGGAGCCCAACTCCTTGGCTCGCTATCTTCCCAGTATCTGACTCCACTCACCCAGGTGAGCCAGCCCTTGGGATGGAACCGATAAGTAGCCAGGATCAACACACCAAACACATAAACCTCACTGAACTAAAATTCCAGCAGAGTCTGCTTAGTTGGAGGAGGTCAGCCTCACCCAGAGGTTTGGGCCAACTCCTGTTTAGGTCACCCGTGTCTACCCTCACTGGACAGCATCCTCTTACTCTCCCTGAGTAGCCCTGCACTTGGTAGCTACAATGTGTTCTTCTCCCTTTGTGACATGAGCTGTTCTAGAATCACAGAGCTGGAGGGAGCCTTGGTTCCATCTGGTTCTAAATCCTGTTTTGTATCTGAGAGACTCGGGGCCAGAGTGACCCAAGTCACTCAATAAGTTAACTCCTGAGCCCAGATAAGAGTCTAAATGTTTTCACTCACATGTCAGTGCTCATCCTCTTAAAATTAAATATTAACCCCTTGACATATGAGAATTCTGTAAATGTTCAATAAAAACAAGAGCAAAGGAAGATAAACAGACCAAAAGAAAGGTAGAAAGCACATGCCTAGAGCAATATACCAAGAGCAAAAGTCTTGCTTCACCCTCCTTGTGACCAGCCATCATACAGGTATGCCCTCTGGATTGTCCTCCTCTCTCAGGTGATGTTGTGAACATGTCCTTAACTCCCCCTCCCCTAAAGGTCAATTGACCCTGAACTTGGCTTTCCATACCACTTTGAATTTACTGCTCAGGTCAGCCTGGTCCTGGCTGCTTGCGTACTGACTAGTTTCCAGGAGTTTATGTTGCTCTTGTCGCCACATGAAGAGAATTCCTAATTCAGGTATTCCAAAGCTGCTGGGTGAAGTCTCATTATGTTTTGGGGAAGTATTACTGTCCTCAGGGGAAAAAGTCCAATTCATGGAACTCAAAGTTTAAGTCAGTTTGGCCCCAACCTGTCCAGGAAACTTTTCTCTGTCACAGGAGCCCATAATGCAACCCAGACCAGTCAACTCTGCTGCCTGCATTAACCTGTCATCTCACTAATGAGTCTCCCTTCAACTGGAATTCCTCCCGCAATGTGCCCATTTATTGAAATCCTGCCCTTGGTGAAGACCTCACTGAAGACTCAGATCCATAGCAACTTTTCCCTGTTCTGAATTCCTTTCATACTTCTTGCCCAAACCAGTGCTGTTCAAGAGAAATAAAATGCAAACCACATGTATGATTTTTAATTTTCTAAAAGCCATATTAAAATTGAAAAAAGGGACAGGTAAAGTTAATCTTAATATAATGAATAAACCAATATATACAAGAACATTAACATTTGAGCATATAATGAATATAAAAATTATTAATGATATACTTACATTCTTTATTTCATACTAAGTTTCTGAAGTCTGGTGTGTATGAAGCATTTTTAGTGTGTATGTGACACATTTCACTGTGGACTAGCTACTTTTCAAGTGCTTTGAAGTCACATGTGGTTAGTGGCTGCCATATTGGACAGCACAGATCTAGACCACTCCTTTGGTAATTTTCCCTTCCTGCCTGGTAGTATTAGTCACATTGGTTTCTCATGTCCTTAACATCATTTCATTTAATGGTTGCGTGCCTATAATACAAGGCAGAGGATTTGTTCTCTTTTTTCCTTAAGGGCCTCACATTCGACTCCCCCAGCTATTTTCAAACTGGTCTCAAGACACCTTCATATTTTTAAAAAATTGTTGACAACTCCTCCAAATTTTTGTGTATTTCTGTCCTGCATGAAATTTTTATTCACCCTATAAAAACTTAAATCTGAGAAATATTTGACTATTTATTCATTTCAAATTACAATAATATGCCTATCATATATTAAAATAAACATGATTTATTTTTAAAGTATGTCTTCCAACACAAAAAAAATTACAAGAGTGGCATTGGTTTACATTTTTAAAAACCCTTTAATATGACTTGAGAGAACACAGCTGGATTTTCATGTCTGCCACTGTATTTAATGTGTTGTAAAATAATGCTTTGATTGAAATGTTTGAGAAAACTCCAGACTGATACAACTATGGAGTTGGAAAAGGAAAGAATATTACAGTGGTCTTTTCAGATAATGTAGTTATTCTTCTTTGATATCAGATACACTCAAATTCAACAATTGCTATTTTCTTAAGTGTTGCCTGCGTTGTGGAATTTGAAACCTTATCAATAAACTTTATGCATATAGTTACATTAAAATCTATTTGTGTTTCTTGTATTTTGAGTGGAAATTTTGCCCACATACGGCTTTGTGACCCATTGGTCAATTGGAAAATATTGTTCCACTGAATTGTGCAGATTTTCTAAATGCTGTCACATCTCATCATGCAAGAGCAGAAATTCACATTAGTGATATCACCACTGATCTCATTAGAAAAGCATTGTAAGTATTGGAAAGCTGTCAAGTTCATGGTGATGAATACAGGTTTTCTGAGTTCTAATTTTTACTTGAAAGGTCTAATTTTAAATACTGGGGGAGGGGGTTGGGGAGATAGGAAAGATAGTAGAATGAAACAGACATTGTGAATGCAATGTGATTCTGCAACCTGTATACACAGAAAAATGAGATATTATATCCCATCTGATTCAAATGTAAAAAAAAAAAAGAAAAAAGAAAAAGAAAGGTCTGATTTTATTGTTGACAACATATAATGCTGGTTTGCCTTAAAGGAATGGGCTCATTGGCAACTCAGATGATCACACAGTGTTTTTTTTCCTTGAGGTGCCACATACCGTTGTCATGTGTCCTTTCTTTTTCATCACACAGAATATTAAAAAGCATGTACTCAAGGTCTGAGGCTTAGTGAAAGTGATCTTTTTTACCAGTTCACCCACAATGTTTTGAAGTCAAACTGGCATTTTAAAAAATTTAAGTATGTGATGGTGGAGAGTAACATAACTAGTCTAATTTGGTGTTACTGCCTTGTTTCATGAGAAGCCATCAATTATTTAACACCATTTTTTTTTAGTACTACTGGTGGAAATATCAATAGAGTAAAAATACAAAGTCTTATAAGTATTATTATAAAAAATCTAACCTTTCAGATGTCCCCACAAAGATCTTGAGGACCACTCACAGGGATCTGCATATAACAGAACCTCTGCTCTGTTCAACGTATGCCATCCACTGAGGTTTACCCAGAGATGGATGTCACCAAGGAATCTCTGCCCAAGAGACCACGCTTTGTCTTGGTTGAAGCATCTACTTTGAAGCTCTGTCCTTCTATTTCATGAACTCAGCCAGATTTCTGTGCTTCTCTTTCTTAGAGTCAACTCTGAAGACCTAAGACCTAAATTTCTTGGCCCTACACTGGACCTCGTCGATCAGTCCCTGAGACAAAGACAAAACAGTCCAAAGCAAAACAAACCAGCCCATTGACTAAGTATTAAGATGAATTCCCTGCAAAGTTTCCCTAACTCGAAGGCCCCCACAGATCACCTATAAAATAGTTCCCCAATTCCCTTGGTTATAATCCTGTGCCTAATTTTTTGTAGTCACGTCTTAAGAAAAGTTCCAGATTATGAACTTCCAGAAAAGCAGATTTCTAGCTCTGGTGTGACAATTTCTAACTGTACAAGGTTGGATAAGTTATCTAATTCCCAGCCCAATTGAATTCTCAGCCCATGAAGATGGGGATATTGTATACTACATAAAATTTCTGGGATGATCCAAAGATCTAAGGTAAGTAATGAGAGAAGGTAAAATACTCAATCAGTAGTAGCTGTTAGTAATAATAATAAGCAAGTTGTGAGAAACTTTGGAGGTTACAAGCTTAACCCTCCACACCTTTTCTTCCCTTCCCTGCTCATTGTACAGAGGGACAAGTGGCGATGAAGATGGAGAGGGAGGCGGGATCACACTCAAGTAAGTAGCTGAGTGGATTCCAAGGCAGTTCTTCTGACTGCGCTTCCTATGATGCCCGCCAAGCAGATCTGCTTGTGTTGGAAGCAGAGAGAGAAAGGAGAAGATGTGGCTCTCACTGTCAGTGAGAGAAGTAAGCCAGCTTCACTTTCTCCCAGTTCTTACACAAAGAGTACAGACATTTGTTGATTTTCATTTGTGGGGAAGAACCTCTCCCCTCCAGATGTCCTGGGGAAACCCAGGGAGTTGCACCTGGATGCTGGACAGACAGAAGATGTTCACACATAAAGAGACACTGAATTCCCCAGGAGTACATGTCGGTACCAAATGAATGGTACAGCCAAGACTACTGGGACAGATTGCTGAGGCTCCTTCAAAGCAGGGACAGTGTCTTGTACAAAAGGTTTAGGTTCCCAGTTTCCTCCAGGCTAGTTCCCCGTGTCTGTGCTCCCTCTACTGCCACCTACAAAACACTGCATTCTTTCAAATAATAGCTATGACACTTCCTGGGCTCTGCTCAAAGACAGACTTGTGCTGAAAACTTGACACTCATTGATTTATGGTATCCTCACAGCACTCTGTAGGATTAAGGATCGTTGTTTTCTCCAATAGACAGATAGGAGACGGAGGTTTAGTGAGTTTAATGAGGCTGATCATGCATAACGGACGGATTCAGGATTCAAACTCAGGACTGTCTGACTCCAGAAGCAATGCTTTACTAAATATCATATCTGCTCTTATGAGAAAAGCAATAAATTGCTCAGGGAGATTTGGAAGAGGTGAGTTTAATAATTAAAACATAATTTCCAAGACAGAGACTCCCTGCATAGCTTATTGTTTAGACATGATGCGTATATTCCAATTCTCCAGCTTGATTTTTTGTTGTAGGGACAGTTGGGCGTGCATTTTAAAGTTCTCAACATATCATGTCACGTTGTCAACAGAGTTTCAAAACATTTGGCAAGTTATGTGGCTCTATAGCATCTGTTTATACTGTTCCAGAAGGAGACGGTTTCTGCTGAGCCACAAATTAGAAAACAGGATTGGAATTTGAATTAAGACAACTCCCCCCTCCCCAATTTTGTTTGATCAGTTAAACAGCTCTTAACCGACTTATTAAATTTTATGTATTTACTCATATGTTACTCTTTCTCAGAACTGAATATATTTAGAGGGTCAACACTGAATGCTATTTTCCTTCATGTGTCAGTGTCCAGATTAGTGCCTGGCATACAGCAGGTGTTCCATAAATGTTTACTGGACAGATGGAAGAACTGATGGAACATTGTATTATCACAGTCTGTTCTCCCTGGGGAAGGCTTTTAGTGACTTGCCTTGTCCAGGTCCTTTATCCCCAACAACACTATCACTCTCTTTGATAATTATATCTTACATTTATACGTATATAAGTAACTAGGCAAAATTGATAGAATTATTACTGACATCAACTGTATCCAAACACTAAGTTGAGGAGAATAGAGGTTATCATTTAATTTCTCTCTCTCTCTCTCCCATATTTCTCTTTCTCTCCCTCATTTTCTCTCTTCCTGTCTAATATATTTTGGGAAGATAACTACTTAACTACTAAAAAAAAAAATACCCTGATTAAGTAGCTTATGATGTTAGGAGAAGGTTGGAGAAGGTGAAGATAAACTTTATAAAGGACTTTGTTTAAAGACTTAAATAGAAATTTAGGGAGTGAAAAAATTGGAGAGAAAAGAGGAAAGGGAAGGGAAGAAGAAAATATAAAAGGAGTTGAAAAGCAGGGAGAAAAGAAAAGAGAAAAGAGAGTGGCATGAAATTTGTATTTAAAAAGGGGGATATACTTCATGTATGTATAATATGTCAAAATACATTCTACTTTCATGTATAACTAAAAAGAACAAGTAAAAAATTTAAAAACAAAAATAAAATGAAATAAAATAAAAAGGGGGAGGAGCCAGTGAAAATTTTCTGGTGATGTCTAATGACTGATGTCTAGTGATCCGTATCAAGATATTTATGTCTCCCCTGGCTTCATGAATGCCAATGTTGTGTGTGTGTGTGTGTGTGTGTGTGTGTGTGTGTGTGTGTATGTGTGTGTGTGTGGGGGCATTAAGAAAAATGAAATAAAGGAATATTTTTTAAAAATCTCATCTTTTCATGTATTAGGTCTTTGATTTCTTACATCAGTAAACACATGCTGTACATATTTTTTAGATTAATACTGAATTACTTCCTCTCACCCTCTGGCGCAATAACATATTGTTAGAAATTCTAAGCTCCAGTTGTTTATTGCAATTAACTTCTGTACACTGATATTGTATTATCTTCCCCAACTCTTCCATTAGTTCCAGAAATTTCTTTTGAATTGTTCACATACACAATCGTGTTTTCAGTGAATAAAGATCTCTTATTTCTTCCTTTCTAATCTGTATACCTTCTCTTTTTCTTACCTTGTTGCACTAGCTAGGATGTCCCATGCAGTGTTAGATAGGAATGACAAGAGAAGACATCCTTGCCTTGTTCCTGATCTTGGAGGAAAGGGTTCAGTCTCTCACCACTAAGTATAACATTAGCTGCAAGCTTTTTGTATATGTCCTTTATTAGGTTAAGAAAGTTTGCTTTCATTACTATTTTTTGAGTTCTTATCATGAATGAATGAATGTGGAATTTTGTTAAAAAAACATTAGCATCTGTCGATATAGCCAAATTTTTTTTCTATCTTAGTCTGTAAATATAATGAATCACATTGATTTTCAACAGTTAAACTGGTCTTACATTCCTAGACTAAACTGCACTTGGTTGTGAGTTATTATTCTTTGTACATGTTGCCAGATTTAATTTTCTATTGTTAAAAAAGGAGTTTGTTATCTATTTTCATAAGAAATGTTCATATGTAGTTTTTCTTTCTTGTAACGTCTGTGACTTTGTTATAAGGATAACGATGGTCTTAAAAGAGTTGGGAAGTTATTTTCTGCTTCAATATCCTGAAAGAAATTGTGTAGAACTGGTGCTATTTCTTCCTCAAATGCTTGAAAGAATTCACCAGCAGAGCCGTGTGTGAGAATTTGGGAGGGAAATTTTAAACTACAAATTTGTTTTATAAATTGCATATAAGGATATTTAGATTATCTGCTTTCTCTTGAGTGAACTTCAGTAGTTTGTTTTTCAAAGTATTTATCCATTTCACCTAAGATGTTATTGTGGGCATTAAATTACTTTTTATATTTCCTTTTAATTTTCTAAGATTTGTAAAATTTATAATACTGTCACCTCTTTCACTCCTGATTTTGGTAATTAATGTCTTTTTTTCCCCCTCAGAACAATCTGACTAGAAGTGAGAAGTGGATATTTGATGTGGATTTCTCGTTAAGTAGTATGTGTAATTGGATCTTGCTTTTTTGTTCAATTTGACAACTTTTTTTCTGGTATGAGGATTAAACCCAGGGGTGCTCTACCACTAACATCCCCAGAATACTTTTATTTTTTTGAGACAAGATCATCCTCCTGCCCCAGCCTCCTAGTAGCTAGCTGAGATTACAGGTGTACATCACTGTGCCCAGCTCTTGGTTTGACCATTTCTGCCTTCATCCTATATTATGAGATTTCTCCACTCTGGGTGTTGTGAATGTAAACTCTACCCAGCCTTGTGTGAGCTTCAGAAATTGCTCCACCTGCTCCTTTGAAAGTGCTCTGCCCTTCCTCAGCTTTAGGTAGCTGCTTCCACACATGCCCCCATCAGTGCTCAGCTGAAGAGCCAAGAGGCTTGCTGTCTCCTTTCTGGTATTCTGCCCTGGGAATTCCAGCCAGCTTGGCCCCCCACATTCTCAACGGTGTCTCCTCAGCTCTGAGAGATTTTCAGGCTCAGTTTGGGTTCCCTCTTTCTGTGCTGAAGTTTGGAAATTTTCTAGGGCAATCACAATGAGTGCCTCGTTTGATCACTTCTCTCAGGGATCATTCTCTTGCTCTGCCTGTTTGCCAATCTCTGAAAACTACTGTTTCATGTTTTGTGTGTTTAGTTGCTGAAGACAAGAAAGTAGATTCACCTCTGGAATGCTCGCCAGTCAGCAAAACAAAACAAGACTCAAAGTTAAATTTGAACATCAGATCAATTATGATTTTTTTCTTTTTACTATACATAGGATCTATATTTATAGTATATGACTGAAATTCAGCTTTCAAAAAATTTTGTTCTAATTAGTTATACATGCCAGCAGAATGCATTTTGATTCATTGTATACAAATGGAGCCCAAGTTTTCATTTATCTGGTTGTACACGATGTAGCATTGGAACACTTATACAATCATATATGTACTTAGGGTAATGATGTCTGTCTCATTCCACCATCTTTCCTACCCTTATGCTCCCTCTCATCCTTCACTCCATTCTGCCCAATCCAAAGGTTCTCCATTCTTTCCTCCCACCACCCCATTATGGATCAGCATCCACATATCAGAGAAAACATTTGGCCTTTGCTTTTTGGGAATTGGCTTGTTTCACTTAGCATGATAATCTCCAACTCCATCCATTTACCTGCAAATGCCATAATTTTATTATCTTTTAAAGCTGAGTAATATTTCATCACATATATATATACCATAGTTTCTTTATCAATTCATCTATTGAAGGGCATCTAGACAAAGGCACCAAAAACATACATTGGAGGAAAGATAGCCTCTTCAACAAATGGTGTTGGGAAAACTAAAAACCCACATGCAGCAAAACAAAATTAAATGCATATCTCTTATCATGCACAAAACTGAAAGTGGATCAAGGACCTAGGAATTAGAACAGAGACCTTGTGCTTAACAGAAGAAAAAGTAGGCCCAAATCTTCATCACATTGGATTATGACCTGTCTTAACAAGATTCTAAAAGTGAAATCCAACTTTAAATGGGCTTCTTAGATTTGATCTGCAATCCTAATCCTTGCTCATTCATTATGAATAAAAGAAAGCAGAACTACCCAAAGATGCTTAGGTGCTGGAACAGTATATTTGTTTGGCCATCCATTCAATGCAGTATGAAATATTTACTGAGCCCCTACATCAGTCGCATCACAAGAGGATGATTTAGGGTTGAACTGGCAAAGAAGCATATAAGCATACAAAGCCAACAAGTTGCTCAGATGAATGACAATGCCAAGAATAAATGCCTCAGAAATTCAGAAGATGCACTGTAGTCAGGAAAAGCCAGGAGATAAGTTGAATCACAGCAACATCCAAAAGTGAAGGATAGAAGAACTGTTCTTACATGGGGGAGGACCGTGGGTTCCACCTGCTGAAAGAAAGTGAGGCTCTGATGAAAGACTAAACTTGGTATCTGTCCAGACAGTGAGAAAAAGAGCCTGAATACAAGGTGTTGAGAAGGATCACTGAACAAGGTTAGTAAGATCTCTGAGAATGCTTGCTGGGTGTGTTCTCTGAGCGACAATAACTAGTCCAGGGAAAGAATGGAGGCTGAAATCCATGCTGTGTTCCAAATTTTAAGCTGTAAGTCTTGGTCAGGGCTGTATCCAATAGAGAAAGGGGTTTTCCCAGTGCCAAGTTTCCTTCTGGGTCATAAAGTCTTCTTTCTGAGTAGTCTCGGTATGATTGCTTCTGAAACTGTCCGGGCTTCTGTCAGCTCTGAGCCATGAGCCTTTCTGTACTGGGCTATTGTGAAATTTGGTTTTAATGGTTGGAGGGAGCAAAGTTGGTGACAGTGAGATGGAAGCCAAAGGGGGTTTAGATGAATATTTTGATAGAACTATTTCCAAGTTCAGCATAGCATCCTGTGGTCTGAATATCAACAGAAAGTCGTTCCATGAACAGTGGCCTCTAGATCAAACACTGTGGATTCAAAAGTTCTCCTGAGAGTTAGGAAGGTGACGGGGCCAATGGAGAATCTAATAGGCAGCTGTAAATCTGAACTTTTAAAGAAAAATGCCTGAATTTCAATTGTTAACATAATTCAAAAACACTTAAAACACACACACATCAAAATATAGTGTACACTTGTACTACATGAACCAAATAATACACCTCTGTGAGGGTCACTGATGCCAATTTTCCTTCTCATTATAAGTAGGATTTCACAGTCTACTGACTCTACATACTATCTCTCCTATCTACTAGGAATTTTTGAAAGAGGGAAAGAGGGAAAAAGAGGAGAATCAAGCCAAATATTGCCCCTTATAGCAAGAAGGGTGAATATAAATGTTTTGGAGGACAGGAACTGAAATAGCTACCTTCCTCCCTCTTATCACTCATTGGTTTGATGATTTAAAGGAATGAGACAACACAGTGCAGACTTAACTGGTTAGGACAATAGTTTGGGGCTTAGTTTTATCATCAAAATTTCAAACAGGTTCTTTATCTCTGAAGACAGTGAAGATTGTTGTAACCGATGTAACCAATCTTCACAGAGAAAGGCTTTACCTAGTCATTACCAACTTGGAATTCCTTGCTACAAGAAATCCCCCCCCCCCAAATAACAACCTGGAACTCATACCAAAATTGTGGAAATCCTCCACGAGAAGGGTATAGCATTCTTTCTTTATTGTGTGGAAATGGCCAATGGCTGTGCAATCCAAGAACAAACTGAAAGAAACTGAACTCAATTAAATTGGATGCTTTCACAGAAGACGAACTTATGTCTATAGCTTTCTTGGGTGTGAAAATAATGAATTATCTCTTAAAAATTAAGGTTGATGTCTTCTCTATATATGATTTATCTAGATTTGTTGATTTTGCAGAGTCAGATCATCACTGAGGAACTGGCATGAACAACGTCTTCTACTTAGCTTCTGCCTTCCATTGATTTTTCCATGTGGATTCTCAAGTTTTTGATTTTATATGCTAGCTTGAAGAAATGTGGAATATTTTAATTTACAGTTGAAGAACATGGTTTTAAACAGAAAAGTGCCATTTTAGGACCAGTCAGTTCTATGACATAAATCATCAATGCGTTGATTTCTTTTCCTTTGCCAGTTCCAACGGCAAGAACACTAAACAAGCACCAGAGGGCGCCATTCTCCCATGAAAACCAACTCACAGAGCAACTGGAGATGGAGGCTTCTTTTGTGTTTATACAGAAGTTCCTTTCACATTTAATTCCTTTTGCATTTAAACAAGGATTTTGCATTTGTCATCTGTGATTGTATAATGGCTTGTCCCTGGGACATTACAGGCTTTACAGGTATTAACAAACTAAACCAACTTGCTCTATGGCTATGGCAAATGTATTGATTGTTGTGCACACAGGCATGCAAGAAGGAGGGAGAACAGAGGAATGTGAACAATAATGCTTATGTCAAGGATTGTGAGGATTCGTCCTTGGCTTTGTTTAACCTGCATACCTGAATGGTGACATTGGTCAGATTCTTACCTAGGAGAGACCTGAGCCAGGTATTCAGTTGATTTGGATAAAATCTTTGTGTCTGAGAAATTTAGGTATGTCAAGCTTACACAGGGTGGTGATGTCAAATACAGTTCAGGGGTCTCTTGTCTGTCTATAATATCCACCAAATTACCCTCCTGAAAAATACACCATCTAAATAAGATAGTGAATTTGCATAGCAAAGGCCCCCAGATAGCTAACTGCTAGTTTTGAGTCCTTTCTTTATGGAGATTCTAGTGTCACCATTACTTGTCTATTGACTGGTTTTTATACAAAACTGTCTTTAATACTCCATTTCAAGTCTAATATAAAGGTATTCATTTCCTCACTGGTCCAGGGATAGAAAAATCCACAAGGAAATCATATAGGCCTTAGTCATTTTTACAAAGTATTTCTAGGTATATAAAAAGTATATTAATAGAAACCAGTGATGCTAAGATCCATAATAATGTACCAAAGAGCTCTGTGTTCAGGCTCTTTTTAGAGGGCATTCAGTCTGCAGATTCTCTCAAGGTGGAGAAGCATGTCATGTCTGGCCCTGTCAGAAGCACCCAGTTAATCAGTGGGAATGTGAAACTGACATAACTGACTGAACAGTGGTAACTTGCACTGCGAGTGAGTAACCCTCTGTAAACAAGATGTCTGGCTTAACTGGGAGAGCCACCAAAAATATTTAAACTAAAACAGAAACTGATATCACAGGGGCAGGCTGTGCTCCCTGAGTTTTTATTTCCAACTTCCTATACCATTCCCAGAAAATTCCACTGGATACTGCTTAATAATTTTAACAATGGGTTATGACACAGAGGTTGACAAGGGGGGGAAACAATGAGGTCATCCAGTCAACTGATTGTGCAAAGGCAGAATCTCCAGGTGGGGAATCTCACACTCCAGACAGGCAAAGTGCCAAGAGGGAGGAACTACACTGACTCCACCATCTTCTCTAGCAACACCAAGAGCACCAAATCTGTTTTAGTTGGCTGCACTCAGGCCCTACTTAATTCCTTAAACACGAGCCTTCAGTACAGGGCTGCTCTTTGCTTTGGAGATAATCAGCAAGATTAGATGCTATCTGGTAGAAGGTAATTACCTCTTGTAAACGATGCCTGCACAAAACTCAAGGTCAGGTTACCTCTGAGAATATCATCAAGAGACAAGGCCAGTGATGGGTTTGGGGGGGGGTGGTCATAGAAAGTCCTGTCCTGGGAGTCTTTACCCCGGGTGTGTACCTGTGTACTGTATTGAGTAAGCTGTGGCTCAGAAAGGGCTATTGTTTCAGGTGTATTTACTTTCCTGACGGAGTTTACTCAATAGCACAGCTGGAACGTTTGTTCTCACCCCCAGGCTTTGGTCTTTGTAATACCTGAAGAGCCTCCCTTGTTCCTGGATATATGTTCTCACATTTAAATTACGGTTGGTTCAAATTCCGAAGGAGGATTTTATAATATTTAGAGACAAGAAAACTAGTACTCTCTAGAATGGCTGCCAGATTCCCACTTTGCTTCGGGTTTTGTGGTCAAGCACACAGAAGTCTCAATCTGGAGACACTTGTTCCTTAGATGTGACCCATGCTTTGGATTCATGGCGGGACCCTGATGATCCGTCAGGGCACTCAATCTCTCTGACTCACTCTTTTTTGGAGTTGGCAGAGGTAAGGACTACTTAAGCCTGGGGCTCTCAGTAGCCTCTCCCCTTGTGCAGGGAAGATGCTATGGAGTAAAGACAGGTCTCTGGATCTAGTCATATCTAAAGCTTTATATCCCTGGACTTCCTAGTTAACCTAGCAAATGAAGACCTTTTTGTTGTTGCTGTTGTTGTTTTCCCCTGAAGCAACCTCGGGTTGCATTTCTGTCACGAGCAACCAGTTATACCCTGATCGGTTTGGTATAAAACTGGGAACTCTAAGAACCCAGAGCCTCAGAAAGAGTCTGACAGCAGATTGTTTATAAAGACGCTATTCAAACTTAGGAGTATGACTTACTTCCCAAAGTACTTGCTGGATTGGTTGAAGTTTTTGCAGGATTACATCTGATATTCTTTAACATTTCATGGAGGATTGAGGAAGTACCAGCACCCTAGGAAAAGAGCCAACATAAAATGTTTGTGTAATAAAAGGGAAAAGGGGTTAGTGCAAAAATTAAGGACCCGTTAGCTCAACTTTTATAGCAGGGAGAAAAAAAAATTGCCACAGTGAATGAGTAATGTGTACAGAATAAGATATCAACTTTAGAAAAACTAAATCCCGCCCCCCACATCAATGCAATATTTTGATTTGTTGACAAATGAAAGGTAAATTGCATCTGTGCATCAGAGCTGGGATCATAAGTACCTTGGGGAACCAGGTACACCACCACACCCAAGAAACCATGGCAAGACTGGAGTCTGAAGGGAGAAGCAAGTGGGGCGGGGATCAGAGAAGGAGATGCACCCAGAACCAAGGGTCTTAAGCTAAGGTAACTAAGGTCATCTAAGATGGTATGCCATTCTGTCTTAAAAATGAACTTTCAAGAGTAGCACTCCTCTGTTCTTTGTTCCTTGATTCACTCATTCACCACTTATTAGATGTTTTACTCTTGCAAGACAGCTGGCACGGAGTGAAGAGAACAGAATTCATGGACAGTTGATTAGATATGTCCCCAACGATGGTGTTGGGAACATTTTAATCATGATCTGATTACTACTGCTTTTTCTATTAAAAAATTACTGAAAGAATAATAGTTAAGTTGTAACTAAGTCCTGATTATCTTTCCCCCTACTTAAAGATTTGAAATAAGCTAGCATGAAAATTAAGAGAAAAGGTAATGTCTTCAACAGTCCTTTTAATCACAACTTGGCTTCTTTTTTGCTTTTTTAAACTTACTTTTTAAAGTATTATTCCAGCCTTGATTGAAAATCCCAGGTCCCTAAAATACTTCCTATTTGGTGCTTTTTACAGTTTCAATATATTGCTGCTAAGCAGTGCCCTGTTCTTTCCAACAAAAAAAGTGCTATATTTTATCTGCAACATTGCTTTTGTCCTGGTCAGAAAAAAAAACAGCAGCAACAACAAAAAAAGACATAATAAAACATATGGAAAGATTATTTCAGTCTTTTCTTTGTTCACTTCTATTTTCACTTCCCTTTAAAAATCAGTAAAATGCTTTTCTTGAAAGCATGTTTCTACCTCCCTCCCACTTTCAGTGGCTTTCCACTAATGCACATGTTCTTTTGAAAAATAACTCATTAAATAAACTTTATTTGGAGATCTCTCACAATCTACATCTTCACTGAATTCTTGCTTCTTACTTACAAACTTTATATTAACCGTCCACTTTGGATACAGTTTCAGGAGTCACAAAACAATTTCCTTACAGCTATACACAGGTACCTACAAGGTGAGTCAGTGGGTGGTTTATTTATGCATCTCTTCACTCAGCTAATTATGCAAAACCAACACTGAACAATGACCACAGTAGGTTAAAACCAGGTAAGAAACCAACTCATGCAAGAAGATACATCCTGGCTTCAAATTTGATCCTAATTGCTGAAAGAGATAAATCATAATATCAAGACAAGGTAGTTTGTTATTCATAGCAAGTGATTTGAAGAAAGGAAGGAAGCCTGGGTAGAGAAGATGAACCTAACAATGTGGTTAGGAGTTTTGATAAAGTCTGGAGAAGACAGTAGAAGTAAAGAGGAGGACGTGAGTAAGAGCTGTATGGATAGGGAAACGAAGTCAAGCAGGACACATTGGCACAAGCAGAAACTTCATATTGGTGAACAAAAGTGGATAAAGCTTTTGGGTAATGGAAGTGCTGTGGTATTTTAAATGCCAGGTTCATGAATTTGCATTATTTTTATAGCCCAGTTCTCACCCCTTCACCCTATCTTCATTCTCAGCCTCTCTTACTCTTTTTCAAACTGCTGCCAAAGTAACCCTCCTAAAAGTTAATACATAACTCCAGTGCTGCAGATTTCACAATGGATCTGAGTGGATTTTAGGGGACTGTGACTCCCTAAGGCCACTCGAGTTATGTATATCTATTAGAGGATTTGCCATTGAGCATCAGGATACAAGTTCCCTCTGGCTGAGTTAGGCTAGGAGGGTCACTAGTGGCCCTGCCTGGCCTTGTAGGGAGCTGGATAAACAAGACCCCTCTTTGGTTCAAGCAACAGTCTCAGATAGAAAAGGAAAAGTAGCACCTGACGACCCAACATGCATGGCACTAATTGAATTCCTAGGACACTTACACAGTGGAATTCCATGTTACGGGCTCACTGCAGTCAAGCTGATCTTCATGTAACTCACCATTTCACCTTGTAGATGTATTTAATTTTAGCAAAACAACCACAACTGTGTTAAATTTATATTTACAACTTAAATTTTACAGATATTATAGATATTTTAGGAGGCAGGATGATCTTGAGTTCAAAGCCAGCCTCAAAACAAGGTGCTAAGCAACTCAATGAGACCCTGTATCTACATGAAATACAAAATAGGGCCAGGGATATGGCTCAGTGGTGGAGCACCCCTGGGTTCAATCCCTGGTACCAAAAAAAAAGAAGAAAAAGAAAAAAGAAAAAATCTGTGTTGTATATGTTGAAAAGTAGGGAGGTACGTGTTCACCTATCTTTCTCTCTCCCTCTCTATCTCTAGATAGATAGAAAAACAGATAGATAGCATTGTCTTAGTTCATCTTAAAATAAGCCTTGCAATGAGGAAGATGGAAGATCAGAGGGTTTAAGTAACTTATGAGAGGTCAACCAGCA